ATACATACCAAATGCAAGCTATTATATGCATACAAACCGAGATTTGATTGCAACAATCTTCCTATAAGAAAAGATAGGCATATGAAGTTCTTTGTATGTCTGTTTGTTATTGCATGATAATGATGATGATGATTCTTTGCCTTGCCTTGCCATGTCTTTTTCTTGCCCTGCTATTATCATTTACATTCATTTCATATCACATCATGCTCATCATCGACTATCATAAAGCCAGCAATAAAGCCAATGTATAATCGACATTAACAACTCGACGTCAACGTTAATCTTCCAGGTCTTTCTCCCTCTCTATCATTTTTTCTCTATCTCTTTTTTTTCTTTCTCTAATAGCAAAAGAATAGGAGAGAAATTCAGCAAATCGGATGGCTCGTTTTGTCTATGAATTGGACGAATCGAAATGCAGAATCTATAAAGAAAGAAAAGAAAGAGATTAATTTTGTTTTTAATATAAACTGTTTCATGATATCGGTAGCATGTTTGTATCTATATGTTTTATTCTTTCTTAATTCGGATTCGTTTAGGCAAAAAAAAAAAGAAGAAGAAATAAAAAGGAGAAAGAGCGACAGAGAAGAAAAAGCTAACATATATAAAAACAAAAAAAAAAGAAGACAACGAGACCAATTCACTTTTCTTAGTCATGCGAGCGAGAGTACAGATTCATTTATTCTCCTAACTTCTGTACATTTTTTTTTTTTGATTAATTTTGTATAGATTATTATTACACAAAAGTACATACTACATTAAGTGTGATTTATTTATTTTTTATCTTTTTTGCTCAATGGAAATTTTACGTGCTGAATCAAACGAATTTCATCATTTAAAAGTATGTATCCAAATTAAAAAAAAAATAAGACGAATATTCATTTTCTAACAAAACTATATATTTCAATAGAATAATGATGGTCCAACAGATTCTTCACCATTATCATCAACAATTGATGATGATGATGATGATCATTTTTCAAATGTGAGTACACATGATGAAAAGGTTCAATCAACTAATACAATTAAAAATGAAAATGATGATAAAACAACAAATGAAAATAAAGATTCTTTAAATATATCACCAATTATAAATCGTTCAATATCAACAATTGATTATACACGTCATCGTGAACGTCTTGCAAAAGAACTTAAAGATTATGAAGATCGTTGGTTAGCACATAGAAATTTTCTTCTATATACACAATCATTTGCAATGAAACCCGAGGATCGTGAACGTTTATTTGCACAATTAAATACAACTAATAGTACTACTACTACTACTAATCATAATAACAATGAAGAAAATTCTCCTTTACATCAATTACAAATTCAACAACAATTATTTCATCGTTTATCAAAAGAAGAGCGAGATCGATTTTTAGCAGTTGCTTTATATCAACAACAACAACAACAACAACAACAAAATCCTTATAGTTTTCATTCATATCCATGGACAAATCCAACAACTCCATCAATTCTTTCTCCAACAGCAAATATTGTTTCACAAATACAATCATCTTCTGATCATCAACAACCAAAATCACCAAGTTCAGATGATAGTGGTAATCAATCAAATTCTGGTAGTACAACTGAATGGTAATTATTAATTTTGTATTAGACAAAAAGAAAAAAATAAATAATTATTTCTTTGTTTTTTTGTTTAGGACTTTTGAAGAACAATTTCGTCAGGTAAATTGATATTTATTATCTGATATTTGATTGAGTAGAAATCAATTAGGTTCCGTCTGACTATTTCTCTATCTCTATCGAGATCTATCTATTGCTTCTGTTTGCACATCATTTGGATTGTGTGCATCACTCGCTCTTTCTTTTGTAGAACGAACGAGTGTTGATAGCTTTGAGGCAATAATTAATTGAAATGTTTGGTATATATATAGATTGGGTACCACAAGAGATGTAACAAAAGCTCATTCATCTATGCTCTTTTTCATAAGTAGCACTTATCTATTATTGAAGACACACGAGTTAAGAGAGAAATCAAAAGCACATCTATCTTCTCTCTTCATCTTGCACAATAATTTCATAGGTTAAATATATCAATACATCTATCAAAGGTAGATCAAGGCAAA